TCTGCGAACAACAACAAATCTTTGTGTGGAAAAGAAAGAGCGACAGCTACACATAGACAACAACTAAAAAAAGGAGCCTGGCCCACAAATATAACCCAAAAAAAAAAGGAATATATATAAGAAAAGCAGAGGCAGACCAAGATGAAGCTGGAAAAATGCCGATAAACGGAAATACAAAACAAGAAACGTGCACAAATCTAATTTCCAAATAACACGCGCAGAGCCAAACACAAAAAAAAAAAACAAAAAATGAAAAACAACCGGGAAAGAGATGAAGGAAAACTGACGGGGAAAACTGAAATGTAGAAGACCAGAAAAAAAAACAAGAACAAGCCGAGCTAAGATTCAAATACCCTAGAAAAAGGATCGAAAAAGGATTTTCCTAAAGGATTTAAATTGGGAAATTAGAAAAAAACGGGGTAAGGTTTTTATTTTAAATAAGGTTTCATATTTTATTTACATTTTTACAGTTACAAGGGGTTTTAATCATACACGTACTACTAAATATATTTTTATATTTTTATATATTTGTTTTTATATATTTTTTCGATTAAAAATAAGGCTTTATAGTTAATTTACATATTTTATATATGTATTACAGAGTTTTTTATCGTAAATGTTGTATTATTATGCTTAAAAAAATATATTTTTATATTATTTATAAATATTTATATTATACTTTTAATCAAAAATAAGGCCTTATATTTTATTTAAGGGGTTATCCGGGTTTTGAAATTTCAAAAAATGCTTTTTTTTCAAACTTTTTTATATAATAGTACAAAGTGTCAGGAATGTTGTCCGAAAATTTCAAGTCGATCGAAGCAAACCTGTAGAAATGGGGGAAATTTGAAGCCCAGCGCGTCGTATGAGTCACAACTGGAAATTAAAACTTTAAACGCGTTTTTCTCAAAACCACTTTCTTGAAGTCGGTAGTCAAGATTTCTCGAAAACTACAGGACCGATCGACTTCAGATTTTCCACACTTCTTCTAGACATGTTTTTCTTGTCTCTGAACGAAGGATTTTTTATATCTTCAATTAGAACCGATTTTATAACCCAAAATATGGCCAAAATTGACGTAAAAAGTGACATTTTTCATCAAAAACGCTCCCAAAAATTCAATTTTTAATTTTTTAAAAAATCCTTCGTTCAAAGACAAGCCAGACACATAAGCTAACAGAAAAAGTTTGGTTTTTTGATTTCTGATCAAAATTGACGAAGAAATCCTGCCTACCGCAAGGACATAATTTTTTTTAGGGTTAAGTTCAACCCTTCCTCAACGGCTCATTTGTAAATATTTCTTGTTCAAAATTTTACAGAATTTAGTTCAAACCTTATGTATTAATGTAGAATAAATGAAATTTGCAAAATTGTCATAGGATCTTTAAAAAAAAATTCTGGAAAATGGGCCTTTTTTTGTGGTTCTAAACCCGGATAACCCCTTAAATTTGTTTTGAGGTATTTCTTACGTTATCGATATTAGAACTATATTCATAATTATTTATTACATTTTTTAAAGAAAGTTTAAAGAAACTATTTCCAAATATAATATTTCCAAAATAATAATAATATTTCCAGGGTACGAGACAACAACAAGACAAGGCGACGACGATGTTAAAATTGAAATGAAGACAGAACTGCTGAACTGCTGCTGGTGGCCAATGGAGGGAGCGAGAGGTGTGGAACAAAGTGAAACTTTTCAATATCCGCATCCGCTCATGAATAATAATTTATAATGGCCGTGCCTGCGCGTCATAAAAAAAAAAAGAAAACCAAACGAACGAACGGCAGCAGCGCCAGAAAAAACCCCAACATTTCGCCTTCGCCACTGGCAGTGCCACTTCTTCGACTCCCGAAGACAACTTCTTGGCCTTGTCAGGGCTGCCCAGGCGATTGATGTGGCTCAGCTGGGGATGCGAGTGTCTAAACCACCTGCCAGTTAGACCGCCTCCTCCTTCTCCCTCCCCTCTACCACCGAGGAACATAAAGCCACAAGCTGCTGGCCTAGGAAGCAGTGAAGGTAAGTGAAATATAAATATTACATTATTTAGATAGTTAAATATATATTTTTAAACATATATTTTATTTATTTTTGAAATATATTTAAATATATTTTTGTATATATATTTTACACATACTTTTTATATATTTAAAAAATTTTTATATTTAAGAAAAGTACTTTTTAAATATTTTAAGAAAATATTTCTTATATTCTTTTTAAATATATTTTATTATAATAAAAATATGAAATATATTTTATTTATTTATATAAAAAATCTTAAATATACTTTATTTATTTATAAAAATATATATAAATTTATTTTAAAAATATATATAAATTTATTTTTAACATTAACAAAAAAAAAAAAAGAATATAAGAAAGATTTCTTAAAAATATTTATAAAAGTCCTTATTTTAAATATATACAAATATTAAAAATATATAAGAAGTAGTTTTAAAAAATATATAAAAAGTACTTAAAACAAGAAAGAAAGCTAACTTTGGCCAGCCAAAGTTTGTATACCCAATTAAAAATATTAAAATATATTATAACTAAGCCAAAAATGCATTAATTTCGATTCGGAAAGCAGTTTTGTGTTAGTTTTTATTAATTTAAAAAAACTGCATACCAAATTTAAAATTTTAAGAAATCAAAATTTTTGGCCATTTTTGCTAATTTTAATGATGTAACCCCTTATCACATTTTGAAAAAATGGCTCAAAATTTGATTTCCTCCAAACATGGCTTAAACGATTCGTATTTTAATGCTGATCAAGAATATATATGGTTTATGGGGTCGGAAATGACTCCTTCACTTAGAAAAATATTATTTTGTAATATAAAATCGGATTTTTTATATTAAAAAATATCATAACTCTGCCAAAAATGCATTAATTTTAAATCGGAAAACTGTTCTGTGTTAGTTTTTATGATGTTAACAAATCTGCATACTTAGTTAGAAAAAAAAATTTTGGTCAATTTTTGAGAATTTTAATGATGTAACCCCTTATCAAATTTCTCAAAAATGGCTCAAAATTTGATTTCCTCCAAACATGGCTTAAACGATTCGTATTTTAGTGCTGATCAAGAATATATACGGTTTATGGGGTCGGAAATGACTCCTTCACTTGAAAAAATATTATTTTGTATTATAATATAAAATCTGATTTTTTATATTAAAAAACTTCTTGATTTTTTTTAAAATTAAAAATATCATAACTTGGCCAAAAGAGCATTAATTTTAAATCGGAAAACTGTTCTGTGCAAGATTTTCTACAGTTAATAAATCTGCATACTTCATACTTTTTATCAAAATCAAAAATTTTAATGATGTAACCCCTTATCAAATTTATATAAAAAATATATTTTTTTAAATATTTAAAAGGCTTATTTATATTTAACTTTTTTAAGCTTGATCTTGAGACTTTTACGAAAACCTAAACGGGCATTTTATATTTTTTTATGTAGTATTTAGTTTGCTAGTGTTTTATTTATTTTACGCAGACATCACTGTACCTTGGCGTTGACAAATAAAAAATCGTCAACGAAAAGTGTAACTTTGGTTCAATGGCGAGTGGAGCAACATGTATGGGGTTGGCTGCTGCTCCTCGGCTGTTGCTCCGCTGATGAGTCTGTCACCTGCCACACCTTGAACCTCAAAGAAAAGAAAAAAAAGAGCAGCTGCTGCTGCTTACTGAAAGCGGAAAAAGTTGGTTTATACTGCGGTTTTCCCTGTCTCATTTTTTTTTTTGGTTTAACTTATGAATATGGCAGTAACTTTTGGCAGCAACTGTACTTAGTGGCCGTTTTAAGTTAATGAAAAACGATGCCTCACTTAGTTTTAATTAAAATGCACAGGAAATAGTACTTAATTTATATAATTATATTAGTTTAGGAAGGGTTTTTATATTAAATAAACAATTTTAATTTTAATTCTTGGGTTTGGGAGTTAAAATATAATTCAAATTTTATTTTAAATATTTATTTTCATTGAAAAATCTCTCAGAACTTGGAAATTTTCTCTACCTGTGTGTACCTCTTAGGCAAATGAAATGTGAAATGAATTTCTGGCAATTGTATATCTCTTTTTAAGAACTGCTCCTTACCTGTGCTGCCATTTCTGAAGATTTTCACGTAGCCATGATAATGATAAAACTTTGACTGGCTTTTTTACAAAATCACAGCTACAGCCACTCCCTCCGCACATCAAATTCTTATTAGCGCTCAATTTCAATTGATTCGGCGGAGAGAGAGAACGAAAAAAAAAGAAACTTTTCCAATCAGCCCCAAACAATCCTTCTCGAAGGATGATGATGATGATGAGGAAGGGGAAGGGGAAAACTTCTCGAGCTCTTGCCGAGCGTTTTCTTGAAAACGCTCTCGCTCTCGCTCTTGCTTCCTCGCTAAAAACCCAATTAAACGCGTCATTAAATTATTTCGCAATTTGCATATATTTCGTATTTCAACTCAATAAAATTTCACACCTGAGTGGCCAACCCCACGCGTGCCACACCTGTGCAGAAACCAACCCCCCGCCCCGTGGGCTTCATTAACCCACGACAAGTTTGCTCTTTTCCGTATATACTTTTTCCCCCGCTTCCTTTTCGCCTGCGTGTGTTTCTTATTTTATTTTTATTTGTGTTCTTTATTTGCATTTAGCATTCTTCAATTTGTTGTTGATTTTGTTCTTCAACTTGTTTTCCCGGTTGTTTGCCTTCGGGGTTTATTTTTATTTCTCTGCATAAATATGTATTGTTATCGCATTTACCTTAAATAGTTTGCGGTTAAGTTTCCAGGGTCGCGGGAAGCTTAAAAAAAAATTAGAATAATAAAAACTTTGGCCCCTCGGAAACACTGCAAATTAAGAACAAGAAAGGAAGCCAAAAGTGCCTGAAATTCGATTCAGAAATCTGCTCCGAGTTAGTTTTTCTAACCTGAACTCAGGAGCTAGGAGTTTAGTGTCAATCGCAACTTGAAACTTGGCAACCTGAAACGTTACCCCATCAGTACCCAACCAACCATTCTACAGGTAACACAAACATCCAAGTCAAGTTCAGGTTTATATATATAAAAACCAGAAATATATTTATAGAACATAAACAAACAAAGACAAGATGCTGATTGTCCGCGGAACCTACGATGTGACGGAGCTGGTGGCTGGCTGCATTGGATCCTTGGGTCTCTACTTGGCCGGCATCAATGTGATGCCCCTGAAGTATGTACCCGATTTACCGGCCGCTCTATTTGTGCTTTCCACGGTCATTGTAATGCACCATGTGCGGATCATGAGATATCCGCCGATACAGAAGCTGTGGCGTTTACTCCTGGAACTTGTTTGCATATATATTGCCTCCCAGGTGCTGGTCGCCATCCTTTGGGAGCAGTTTCATGTGCTCTTAGATGTCATCCGGCGTACCATGATCAACACTACCCTGGGAGTAAGATGTCTGAAGTCTTATCCCAGACTGACAATGTTTTTGCACCAGGATCTCTGCTATTTCGCTCAATTGGGGCTTGCCGTGATGCTCACCTTCAAGATTCTGAGGCGCACCAGGGCTTTGCAATACATCCTGTCAGAGCAGCGTTTCTACAATTACTTTGGAAACAACCTGGCTACGGTTGAGGTTTTTAATGATCAGCGGAGATCCGCCAGTCGACGCAGACGTTAACCAGGGGCAATCAGCGCGGCGGCGGATCCATATATGTATACATATATACATATTCTATACTTTATATAACAATCTATAACAATCGATTAACGATAAAACCAATCAAAACTGTAAATGTGTCATCCCTCGATACGAAAAAGATCGGCAACAGCAAAACAATTATTAAATTAAAGTAGTTTCTAATATTTTTATTGATTGCGATAAGAATTGGGTTAAAGGGATAAGGGTTAAAGGGTTAAGCTTAGTAAAACTGCAGTTTTGCCTTAATACTTACCCAACATTTAAAAAAAATATTTAAAGTAATATTGCGGGAAAAAAAATGGGTGCGATTTAAAGTGATAATTTTTGGGGGAAATAAACATTTTTGAAAATTCATAACTCGCATGGAATTCAATTCGGAAAGCTGTTCTGTTAAAGATTTTCGAAATTTGAATTTTTCCTCAAAATGTTGACCTTTTTTTTAAATTTAATTACAGCAAACTGCCAGCAGTAGCTTCTCCGAGGGATCCACGCCAGCCGCCGGCTCCAGCCTGCTGCCAGCAGTAGCTTCTCCAAGGGATCCTTGCCAGACGCCGGCTCCAGCTGAGCAGGGATACGGCGGAGCAGGATTTCGGCGGCGGAGCAGGGATTCGGCGGCGGATCAGGGCTGCTGCAGGAGCAGGAGCAGGAGCAGGGCGGCGGCGGAGCAGGGCTGCTGCGGCGGCTGCGGCGGCGGCTACGGCTGCAGCGGCGACTACGGCTGCAGCGGCGACTACGGCTGCAACGGCGGCTACGGCTGCTGCGGTTGCTGCGGCGGAGCAGGGCTGCGGCGGAGCAGGGATTTCGGCGGAGCAGGGATTTTGGCGGCGGAGCAGGGCGGCTGCAGCAAAACAGGGATACGGCGGAGCAGGGATTTCGGCGGCGGAGCAGGGATTTCGGCGGCGGAGCAGGGCGGCTGCAGCAGAGCAGGGATACGGCGGAGCAGGGATTTCGGCGGCGGAGCAGGGCTGCTGGGATGACAGACCTCAACCCGATGGCAGTGGAGGAGGGTGATCGGATCTTGGCTCCGGGGTAGTTACAATTTAAATATGTAAATGTAATTGAAGGAACACACAAATATGAATCAATAAAAGAACGTGAAATCCATGTGAAAGGTTTGTTGAAGTCGGCATTTATTTGGGGGCCTTGGATAGTTTTTCTGAATTTTTTTCAGATTTTTTAGAATTTTTTAGAATTTTTTTAGAATTTAAAAATTGTTTTAAATATTTTAACTGCCAAATTTGAATTTGAATTTAACGACGATCAGTTTCAGTGTGCCCAGGTGCAGTTGTAAAATAACATCTAAATTTGGATTCAAAAGGTTTGAGTCTCCGCTTTCTTGCGCCGGCTCCAAAATGGTTTGAAACTTGGACTTTTTATAACAGTTTATACCAGTTTTCAGTTGCTTGCTGCTGATTTCTGTTCGCCTGTTACCCCAATTTGGGAAACGGGCAATTTGCATGGAAATTTTTGGAAATTTGGATGGGCTGCTGTAGGGATGTTGTTGTAAAGGGGTTGTTGTTGCCATCAAGTGGTTGTTGCCGGCAGAAAAAAGGTATAAATGCATAAAATGGAATATAACAGTTTATACCAATTATTATTTTTGCCCAAAAGTTTTTATAACAGTTTATACCAGTTTTCAGTTGCTTGCTGCTGGTTTCTGTTCGCCTGTTACCCCAGTTTGGGAAGCGGCCAAATTTTAGGAATTGCATCAGTGATGCTCATCTGCATCAGTGATGCTCATCTGGCTATATTTCAGTATTGGGTGTGCGAAAAATCGGGCTTTATATCAGTGATGCTCATGTGCATCAGTGATGCTCATCTGGCTATATATTGCAATATTGGGAGGCAATATATTGCAATATTAAGAGGCATCAGTGATGCTCATGTGCATCAGTGATGCTCATCTGGCTATATATTGCAATATTGGGAGGCAATATATTGCAATATTGGGAGAGGCATCAGTGATGCTCATGTGCATCAGTGATGCTCATCTGGCTATATATTGCAATATTGGGAGGCAATATATTGCAATATTGGGAGGCATCAGTGATGCTCATGTGCATCAGTGATGCTCATCTGGCTATATATTGCCTCCCAATATTGCAATATATAGCCAGATGAGCATCACTGATGCAAATGAGCATCACTGATGCCTCTTAATATTGCAATATATTGCCTCCCAATATTGCAATATATAGCCAGATGAGCATCACTGATGCACATGAGCATCACTGATGCCTCCCAATATTGCAATATATTGCCTCCCAATATCGCAATATATAGCCAGATGAGCATCACTGATGCACATGAGCATCACTGATGCCTCCCAATATTGCCATATATTGCCTCCCAATATCGCAATATATAGCCAGATGAGCATCACTGATGCACATGAGCATCACTGATATAAAGCCCGATTTTTCGCACACCCAATACTGAAATATAGCCAGATGAGCATCACTGATGCAGATGAGCATCACTGATGCAATTCCTAAAATTTGGCCGCTTCCCAAACTGGGGTAACAGGCGAACAGAAACCAGCAGCAAGCAACTGAAAACTGGTATAAACTGTTATAAAAACTTTTGGGCAAAAATAATAATTGGTATAAACTGTTATATTCCATTTTATGCATTTATACCTTTTTTCTGCCGGCAACAACCACTTGATGGCAACAACAACCCCTTTACAACAACATCCCTACAGCAGCCCATCCAAATTTCCAAAAATTTCCATGCAAATTGCCCGTTTCCCAAATTGGGGTAACAGGCGAACAGAAACCAGCAGCAAGCAACTGAAAACTGGTATAAACTGTTATAAAAAGTCCAAGTTTCAAACCATTTTGGAGCCGGCGCAAGAAAGCGGAGACTCAAACCTTTTGAATCCAAATTTAGATGTTATTTTACAACTGCACCTGGGCACACTGAAACTGATCGTCGTTAAATTCAAATTCAAATTTGGCAGTTAAAATATTTAAAACAATTTTTAAATTCTAAAAAAATTCTAAAAAATTCTAAAAAATCTGAAAAAAAATTTTAAAAATTCAGAAAAACTATCCAAGGCCCCCAGATAAATGCCGACTTCAACAAACCTTTCACATGGATTTCACGTTCTTTTATTGATTCATATTTGTGTGTTCCTTCAATTACATTTACATATTTAAAGTGTAACTAGCCCGGAGCCAAGATCCGATCACCCTCCTCCACTGCCATCGGGTTGAGGTCTGTCATCCCAGCCGCCCTGCTCCGCCGCCGAAATCCCTGCTCCGCCGTATCCCTGCTCTGCTGCAGCCGCCCTGCTCCGCCGCCGAAATCCTGCTCCGCCGTATCCCTGCTCAGCTGGAGCCGGCAGCTGGCGAGGATCCCTCGGAGGAGCCACTGCTGGCAGTTTGCTGTAATTAAATTTAAAAAAAAAAGTCAAAATTTTGAGAAAAAATTAAAATTTCGAAAATCTTTAACTTGACTGAAACAAAATCGAAAAAATATATAAAATTAAGCGTATATAAAAATTTGCGTAAATTTTAAAATTACTTTAACCGGTTTTTCAGCTGTTTTGGAATCGTAAGCCGTCTCAGAATGCTCCTTTGATTTATGGGGATATTCCCAAAACGAAAAAAGACAGAAAAGAATGTAAAGCAGAAGGCATCCTGCTACGCAATGGTCCTTCCTAAGGTCAGGTCCGAATCGTATCCCTTTCCGGTGGCCAATGTTTTCTCTGGGGATCCTCCTAAATGACCCAGAAATGTATGCAATACGCATTTAATTCAGTTTTTGTTCACCCTTTTTTTTTAATTTTGGGGAGTCCCCTTCTGTCCAGCAAATGCACGCACAGTCGCGCACATAAAATAAATAAATACTGGCAATAAAAAAAAAAAAAAAACGAAACAAAAACAACAGCAAACCGGGTAAAGCGTCTACATGAGTCGCATATTTAATTCCGCCCCAGAACCCTCCTCCTCCTGCGTCACGAAAGGATTTCTCACAGCCTCCTGGCTCTGTGTGCCTTCTTTTTTTTTTGTTTCTCTTTACTTAATTTTACTTCAAAAGTAACCACTTTAATAATTTTAAATCGTTAAAAACAAATATATTTTTTAGATTTTATAATTATTTGTTAACTAATAATTTTAATACATTTAATTATATATTTTATACGTCAGCTGACCTCTTCCTGTTAATATGTAATTTAAAATTGAAAGAAAACAATGTAACTTAATTAAAAAAAGTATAGATTCCTTGACTCTCCTCTCTCTTTCTTTCTACAACAAATAAACGAATTTCTAAAAAAAAAAAACACTCGCTGAAGGCAGCGCTGAGGGGAGTTCCCCCCTTTCAGCGCCACCTCTCCCACTGATAAAGTTCAAAAGTGAATGCTTTTTAGTTGCACAAATTGCAAAACAAACAAAAATTCGACCAAGGGGAAAAAGCATAACAACGGGAAAATCTAAAACAAGCCACATATACACACGCATCAAGTCAAGGCAGAGCAAACAAAACTGTCCCTTAACAAAAAGGTATAAGAAAAATACAAAAAAACAAAAAAAAAAAACGTACTAAACGCTTTGGTCCAGCCAAAAATGTTGCACCCATCAATAGCCAAAGAAAATCTCTGATATAAAGTGCAACAAAAAATGGGAAAGTACCATCAGGTTGAGGGTTACGACTTCGGAATACCGTGTAATGATTAATTAAATAATTGATTTAAAAGATAAGCCATAAATAAAAATTAAGAAATTATTAAATTAATTGGGAAATATTAATATCAAAAATATAATATATAATATAAATAGAAATAATTTACCATATTTTATACTTGGAAATATTCAATTAAATTGTTTATAATTTTATTTATTTTTTATAAAACTGGACAACAAGAAAACAATGTTATTTGAAAACGAAACTTTGCTTTTTTAACCAACAACTAACTGTTATAACTGTTATATATTTCATATTAATCAATTCCGAAAATATATATTTAATTTATATAAAAAATAATAATTTAAAATTTTATATAATATAAATTAAAATATATAATTTTCCTATAATAATTTTGTTTTTAACTAACAATCAACTGTTATAACTGTTATATATTTTATATTAAGCAATCCAGAAAATATATATTTAAAAATTAATTTAAATTTATAATAAAATATAAATGAA